AGATGAAGTTGAAAATGTAAAAAGTTTACGCACGACGACGACGGACGGAAAGTGATCAGAATAGGTCACTTGAGCAAAGCTTAGGTGACCTAATTATCCTGCAATAAGCCCAGGGGGCTAACACACAATCTCTGTCTGAAAGTAGGGGGGGGGGGGGGGGGGGGGGCTTATTACAGGACAATGAAAATCCTTTTGTTGGCATTTCTTCCTAACAGCAATATATATATTTGTGTGGATTACCAAGCATGGGCTTATAACTAGATAAATACGGTAATTTGTAACTGAACGAAAAACTTGGTACTGCATAAATTCATTTTATTTTACAGACAATATTATATTCACAGATCTGTACAGACAACAGAAACTTTCACTTAGTTCTACCAAAGATGAATAATAACTTGATCAATGACAGGTCAACAAGGGTCACGACCCTGCTATATGCATGGCTGTACCCCCTATGGTCTATTTTTAGTAACAGTGACCTTGACCTTAGAAACTCTTTAAATCCCTATTCGACATCTACATATCAGTGAATCACCATGTCAAATTTAAACTAGAATTATGTCAGTGTGACATTAAAGCTGCTCACCACTTTAAATAAGCCATTACCATTATCAAACTAAGCACGATATGTCATATTACGTTCCCGTTTGAAACATTAAAATAAAGGTTATACTTCATCACTCATATGGTTTATAAGTATATATATTTACTTCTTCCTTCTACAGACAGCGTCAGTGCTTGACAGTCTTCACATGTGCTTTCTCGAATCATATGTGTTTCACACGCATAAACCTCCTCAGACCTCAATCCGAGTTGCTAAAACGCTCAAACCCAGTGCACCAATTTCACCCCCACAACGCCCGTAGAATGCACCGGAGATAAACATTTTGCAATTATTTAAAGTATGGATTATTATTTGGAGAAGAGTATCAGAAGACTTTATGTAACCCACAGGTGAGTGTCCGAGATTCTTCTTACTATTTACGATAACGAAACTATAAAGCGGAAGCATGCAAGAGTGAATTATGCACACGCAACCCGAACAGAAGTGGGTCTGTCATTTCGTACTCTGGACAGAATTAATAAGCCGCTCGGCTCTCACCAAGAGCTCGGCTCTCACCAAGAGCGGCTTAAAAAGATTAGTCTTCCGTATCCTTAGATAGGGACCATAACCCATTCCCCCTAACCCCAACTCTCCTCCATGGCCTAGCTATTTCCTACCCACACCCATTGTCTATTTTTAGTAACACTATTTTCAGTAAGTGTCCTTGACCTTGACCGTTGAAACTTTTTAAACCCCTATTGCACATCTATTTATCAGTGTATTATAATGTGAAATTCCAAAGATGTTTAGTCTTTGGACTGGATTCAATCACAGAACTTTTGATAATATAAAGCTGTGAGCTTTTCCACTGAGCTACATTCCTGAATCATTTGTAGTTGTAATTCATTTCTGTATTACTGGGAATAACTTCAGAATATCATAGCTCCCCAAAAATGCCTTCAATCTGTAGTTGTCTTTATCATATATAAATAACAAATTAACAGGAAAGTTAATTTTCAGTGGAAAAGTGGTGGGACTCCCTACCGAAGAATGTTACTGCATGAAAAATGTGCAGTACCTATATATAATGTATATATACGTGTGTATAACTTATTCAAACATACCCTGGTATGAATATAAAAAAACAAGAGTTTCTTGGTACCTCCCTAGTGCTTTCACCTCTTTAGAGGTTCATCAGGGAAACCTGGTATGAACATATACTGTATAAATAGATGTCTGGGACAATCAACCATACCAAAGTTAATACTGAATGAGTTTGTTTTCAAATTTGTTTATAATATCCCTTTTTATACAATATTTCCTATTATTGTTGAAAAATTTGACCTTTTTATGAGTTTTTAACAATTTTACAATTTGATAATACAAAAATATATATTACAAGCAGATTTTACCTGTATAGCTTCTTATTGAGAACAAAATGGCTTTTTTTAAGTTGTGACAAACATGTTAGCCTATTTTTAATATTGATGCATGTATTTATGTTTGTTTTATGAAATGAATCACGACAAAAATAGAGGTTGCCTAAATGAGCGATAGTTGGTCATCATATTTCTCTAACTCCGATATTGTATCTGGAAAACCATATGTTCCTCTTGGCCATACATTATTCCCTTTTCCAAATGGAAAACTATGGCCCTGAACTACGACGTCACAATTGGAAGATGACATCACAAAAATCTTACAGGGTGTTACCCATTTTTACCAACTCATCGCAGGTTTATCTAACAAGTCGGAAGTGAATATATAAGATGTCTTTTTGACTAAATCTTAAGTTCATAAGGTTTTTCTGGATGGTATAAGGTTAATGCAAGCTATAGAATTTTGATGCGATTCATTTCAAATCTATTATGGTAAAACCTCGATATAATGCCTCTCATTTCATCTTCCAACTCATATAAAAAAGGATATTATGTAACGAGAATAGATCATGAAGATAGGACCGTACTTAATTCTCAATTGGTGAAGTGCAGTTGTAATTTATATGTGTGAAGAGAATTAACCCATAGAAGAAATTCTTGTCTAGATTGACATAGAAAATCAAGGTAGGCAAGGGTTTTATTTAGTTTGTGTTTCGTTTTAATGGGCCCATGATCTGAATTTGTCTATTTTACATAACTGTAAAATACTTTATTTAGGACTTATGATTTGAGAGAATTTTTGAATTTTAACCGATTAGCAGACTGATAAATTGTTTCACCCATAATATGCACATGCTATAGAAAATTGTATACATAAAAACTCTAAATCAACAACTTGTTTATTAATAAATTTCTTAATTAAGGCACTCTATTTTGCACAGCAAGCTTTTTGTTTTTACATATATATATTCAAAATACTGATGATTGAAGACAAAATATGGAAATAAACAGCAATGTTCCCAGAGTTGGCAATGGGTTCTTGAACATCTCCTCCCCTCCCCCAGGGATTAATCCGAGTTTGTTTGGGAAAGCCAAATTTTTCCAGCTAAATTTTTCCAGATAAATTTTTCTAGATAAATTTTTATCAGAAAAACATCTTTCAGAAAATGATCAAAATTGGTAAAAATTCACGGTTATATATATATATAAATTTTCTTAATTATGCATTATTTTCACTTTTGATATATTTTTAGTAAATGAATGAATTCTTGGGGAAAAGTCCTTAATGCATGTCAAATGCTGCATATGACTATTTGGATGGGAGGATTTTGGATCAAAAGGAGATTTGAAAGAATAAGGGAATTTTTAAGATCAAATCCTGGGGGCAAAAGAGTAGTATTATAAAAAGCTGTAAAATTGTACCCTACCTAAAATTACTTCCCCCCCCNTGTATATATCCGAGTTTGTAGAATGCTGAATGTGTATTCAATAAAGCTTTAAGACTAACTGAGTTGTGATTTCATTTGTTCTGCTGAAAGGTAGATAATATAACATTACTGGTGATCATAAATGAGTTTGAGGGGAGACAACCCAAAGATCTTTTTACAACAAAATTAGAGTTAATTTGTTAAAATCTGATGGTGAATATCTATATTTTTAGTGTTGGGAAATGGTTGAAATTTTACCATTAACCAACCGATGATCGATTAGTAATTGTTTTATAGAAATACATAGTGAAATCCTCCATGCTGTTGCTGTATCACATTGTGATACCATGTAAATATAAGAAATACCACTCTCCAAACACTGAATCTGTAATATATAGTCCTAACTAGCAGTTAAGAGCTAACTAAACCGACTAAAATCCATCATGGATTTTGTACTCGATTAATTAGGTTTAATAGCTTAACTGACCGTTGCTCGACTTTGTCGATTAATCGGAACACCAATAATATATTTTTAATAAAAAAAATGCTAATTTTTGACATTCCTGTGGTCAAATGCACAACTTTATGAAGGACAACAAGGTCCATACAAAAGTACCATTTATATTGGTGAAAGTGAGTTTAACAGTAACTCCATAAATCATATTATCTAATTAATTTCTTCCTATACTTCTGATATTATATATCTGTAAGATTACGATTATTGTAACTGATTACTTACAAAATCTGTTTTCTAACTTTCAGAAACATGAAAACATACTCTAGGCAAAAAATAAAGACATTCACAGCAAAATTAATTCAAAAGATGTCTGCTTAATCAATTATTGATAATATGTTCAAAATATCATTATTTGAACAAGAGGTCTATTTGTTACTTCATAATTTTTGTAAATTATTTTTTACTGTTGAAATGCTTCAAGTCATTTGAAGTTTTCAACATATTTGATTGTCATGAACTTGAATGTCTGTCAAGGTCATGGATAATGTTGATAGCCAATTCAGCCCATCAAGCTATAGGTGAAATATCAAGACTATGCTATATGGGTCTAAAGGATGCCAGTACCACTGACAAAAACTGTTACTACGCATTGTAAGTATTGGAAACTGTTTTTTCTTGCTTGACTTAAACATTGATAAATCATTTTTGAAAAGAAAACAATACCTTGCCAGACTTTCAATGAAAAAATTAAAAAAAAAGATGAAATAAACAAAATACTATATAAATTCAGCAGGGCTCCACCAGCATCAAAACCCTGGTCCTCAGAAATATTTTTAACTCCAACCTGAGCTTACAGCTGGTTAACGGAGGTGTCCTGACCCATCTGTGTTACACATATATCTAAGGGGAGGTTACTGCGTAAAGAAAAACTACAATACAGTGGAACAGGGATCCGTAAGAAATTGTTCGTAGAAAATCTTGATGTTGGACTCGGAGTGCCACCACACTTTTTAAGCTCCAGGATACTTGTACCTGGAGTACTCCTCAAAAAAAAAACAATGAAAAAAAGGAAATTCAGTCATCTTACCGGAAACATCATTTGTATTTTGCCTAACCTAAATTTTCCTCCGTTTACTGTTACCTGGTAACAATATCCTGTGGGTGAAACATAAAATTGTGGTAATACTCACGGCTAACTCTTGATTTGGCCAGCAGTATCCCTCCGCCGAAAACAGGACTCGGGCATCAAATTTCTTGAACTTTTTCAGTAACTCCTCTGCAGTGTTGGTAAACACGACGTCATAACTGGAAAATCAAACAGCTGTTTGTGTCAGGGAATCTTAACAGTAAATCAACTCATACACCCCTTCATTTATAAACTGGACTTGCCAAGTCTTTGATTCAGTAAGGTTCAAATGTGACCTTAGGGGTGAATTGGTTAAGAGATCTTAGACATATGCTTACCTATCTACTGACAAGTTTTATTTAACTTTAATGACTTTCTTTGAAGTAGTCTTGCATGGATGCACAACACTTGTTTTGTTGATAACAAAGTAATTATTCAAGATTAAAACACCTACACCTGGACTTTTTTTTATTTCTGACTCGTCTATAAAGTTAATGTAACTTTAACATTTTGTGGTACATTCAACTGCATTGTAGGTTCATATTTGACCTTGACCTTTTCCTCCAGACCCTACCAGAGGTGTGTCCATATTTGACCAAACCTACCTATCTGTAAACATGAGCAGAAGGTCATCGCGACCCGCGAACTCCTGCAGTCCTTCCTTCATCATGTTAATCTTTTGACCTCCACCAACTCCTAGCTCCATATTTCCACCTTCCCACTCTTGACCGAATCCCAGGACCTGAAACAGAAAATGTGATCAAAGTAACATTTCACAGTGATTTTCTCTGGGGTCTTTCTGGGGCCGATAACAGGCTCCATTCCCAATTGAAACTATGTCATATATATGCCTTAATCCAGAAATTTGCATTTTACTCTTGAAAAATTTCCCTCCCATTTGGTATGGTTTCTTCCTAAAATGAGACAAAAAGGCCCCATCCTAACTTTACAGGAAAAAAACACTATTTCACTAATATTGATGGTTTCTTATCTTTATATTATGTTTCAAGCAAACTTATTTGCAAATATAGGTAGGAGATATTTGCTTTATTCAGAGTTTCATTTCCCAGTAACAACGAATTTGCATATACATGTATATTAGTCCGAATTATTCTGAAGTTTTATCGATATTTTTCATATCGGTCTGTCGTCGATTAACGTCAGAACTCCGGCCCTCTATAATAGGCGGGAAATATGCCACTCGCACCCGAAGCGCACCTCAAACTGATATTTTAGAAACAAATCGTCACTTTCGCACACTTTCGCACACATGTCGTACATGGATCTATTCTTTATGCACAAGATGAACATACATAACATGCCTCAAACAACCAATACAATCACTAAAAACATATTTTTTCAAACTTACTCTGTTTTACTCTAGTTTTTTGATAGCCCCGCCTTCTAATGCCATGTGACTAAAATCTTGCTGGCCTACATCATAACGTTGGGAAATACCTTCGGTAACGCGAGATCTCGTCAAGTCATGTGAAATTGCTTATGGCCTAATTTCCATTAAAAACATGGGTTGGTATAGAAAACGTTGGAAAATACTTTTCGTAATGATCTTTGAAACATGTTATTGGTACCACCAAGTGAATAAAGAATAGATCTTTCGATCCATGTGCGACATGTGTGTGAAAGTGACGATTTGTTTCTAAAATATCAGTTAAAAGTGCTCTTCGGGCGCGGGGCGCATATTTCCCACATATTATAATGGGCCGGAGTTCTGACGTTAATCGACGACAGACCGATATGAAAAAAGTCAATAAAACGTCAGAATATTTCGGACTTATGTCTATGAAGGCAGATGCATGTACAGGTGGGAAAGAGACAAAACATTATATATATATTGGTTATAATTAGAGATACCTTTTCCACTGCACTAGAGTACAGTTATCTCCCCTTGATTTTGTTTTTCAACAAACAAAAACAATTAAACTAATGTTACAGCATATAGCTAGGTATTTAAAAACCATTCATTGTATATAAACCCATTTTGGTGAATTCTCCAATATTTATCCACTTCTACGTGTAGTTTGATTGATCAAGAATTTTGAAGCTACTGTACATACCGCTTTACTTGCAACCCATCATGCACTGTATACAATTTTTATTGAGGTATATCAAAACAGATCAAGGTTTTCTCATATATTTTATTTAGCAAATCTATATTTGAAATTTAAAACGAAGAGAATCATAAGTGAAAAATACAGGAATCAGCAGGAATTTATCTTCAAAAGCCATGCTGTGACTTTGAACTTGACAGAAATGACAGGGCCAAGGTGGCCGAGTGGTTAAAGAGCCCGACTGTCTGGATCACAAAACCTCCACAACTGCGTTGCAGACTCGAGGCCTATGTAGGGCAGCTGTCGCAGGGTACTGGCCGCAGGTCGGTGGTTATTCCTCTGGGAACTTGCTTACCTCTACCACCAAAAACATGGCACATCCTTAAATGACCGATGGATGTAATACACAAACAAACAGACAGAAATGACATCATTATAAAGTAATTATCAATTTTATACCTTGACATCGTATCCATACTTCTGTGCAGACTGCATGTATCTCCTGAGACCATCGTTTGTCTTTGTCGCTACTGTGATCACTTGTAACTGAAGGTCTGAAAAGTAGATAAAGAGAAGTTAAATAAACTAGTTTAAATCCCAACAAACATAATGTCATAAATACTGTGAAAGTTCTGTTTCAATCTATATACAATTTACATGTATCTTTCATGTTTTGTTTGTAGCACATACATGTAGTTCAAATGACACAGTATAAAAATATTATTCATTTTTACATTTATTGCCCGTTGTATGGAAACATTATTGTTTGCCCCTAATTATTCATTTTTGAAAGTATATATGAACCCTAAGTGAAAATGGTTAATATAATCAAGGGGAGACAAAGAATCACATTTCCCTACCACAAGCCAAGGTCAATACATGCTTTACTACAATGAAACAGCAATGACATTGATAGGCCTACGGGTCATTGTTGTCGTTAGATTCGGTCACTCACAACTGATGGGTATAATAGATATACCTCTTACTCCTTATTCTAACGGCCCAAATGAGGAATATATGACCAGGGAAACTCAAGTGCGAGAGAAAAACATGTTTTATACCAGAGGTATACGTGTTTATGTATATTGCAACCATAAATAATGCACACATTATCGTGAATAATTTTGGAAATAATTATTTCTGTCCCATCTGTTGTGTATAATGAAAATATTTTTTGGGATAATGCCAGCTTTTTTAAATAACCATGCACAGCTTGACATCTTACTGACTTTAGTAACTATTGTGATACATGTATAAATATACAAAACTTATATGATGTAGGTACCTATATGAGAAACAGAATATTAAATTTGTTATTGTGATGACCAACTCACGAGTTCATTTTGGCAGCCAGAAACTCGATCATTCCCATGATTTCATCTTCAGCATTTAAATCAATTTTGACCTTTTTCCAATAAACAATTTCCACAAATATGCTCCTTAATAGATTTTTGAACATTTAAGTTTTGGCTGGGGTATAAAAGATGAACATGTATAGCTACGGCTCTTAATATAAGGGAAACAACAGTATTTTCAGATAAACTGAATTTAGTTTACAACAATTGTATGAATCAAGTTTTTCTAATTTATGTTAATCATTCTTGTTGGCCCGTGAGATGGATACACACACTATTGGGTTACATGCAGTGGGTGTATCAAATCAGAATACCTGGAGAAAACCCACACAGATGTACAGTAGTTTTATACTACACACAGACGTATAGTAGTTTAATACTACACACAGATCTACAGTAGTTTTATACTACACACAGATCTACAGTAGTTTTATACTACACACAGACATACAGTAGTTTAATACTACACACAGACGAACAGTAGTTTTATACTACACACAGATCTACAGTAGTTTTATACTAAACACAGATCTACAGTAGTTTTATACTACACACAGACGAACAGTAGTTTTATACTACTGTTCGTCTGTGTGTAGTATAAAACTACTTTTCGTCTGTGTGTAGTATAAAACTACTTTTCGTCTGTGTGTAGTATAAAACTACTGTAGATCTGTGTGTAGTATAAAACTACTGTAGATCTGTGTACAGTAGTTTTATACTACACACAGACAGACAGTAGTTTTATACTACACACAGACATACAGTAGTTTAATACTACACACAGACGAACAGTAGTTTCATACTACACACAGACGAACAGTAGTTTTATACTGCACACAGACGAACAGTAGTTTTATACTGCACACAGACGAACAGTAGTTTTATACTACACACAGACAAACAGTAGTTTTATACTTCACACAGATCTACAGTAGTTTTATACAGATGTACAGTAGTTTAATGCTACACACAAACAGTATTTTTATACTACACACAGATGAACAGTAGTTTTATACTACACACAGACAAACAGTATTTTTATACTACACACAGATGTACAGTAGTTTTATACTACACACAGATCTACAGTAGTTTTATACTACACATAGAAGTACAGTAGTGTTATACTACACACAGACAAACAGTAGGTTTATACTACACACAGACAAACAGTATTTTTATACAACACACAGATGTACAGTAGTTTTATACTTCACACAGATGTACAGTAGTTTTATACTAAACACAGACGTACAGTAGTTTTATACTACACACACATGTACGGTAGTTTTATACTACACACAGATGTACGGTAGTTTTATACTACACACAGATGTACGGTAGTTTTATACTACACACAGATGTACGGTAGTTTTATACTACACACAGATGTACAGAAGTTTTATACTACACACAGACGTACAGTAGTTTTATACTACACACAGATGTACAGAAGTTTTATACTACACACAGATGTACGGTAGTTTTATACTACACACAGATGTACGGTAGTTTTATACTACACACAGATGTACAGAAGTTTTATACTACACACAGACGTACAGGAGTTTTATACTACACACAGACGAACAGTAGTTTTATTCTACACTCAGACAAACAGTAGTTGTATACTACACACAGACAAACAGTAGTTTTATACTTCACACAGATGTACAGTAGTTTTATACTACACACAGACGAACAGTAGTTTTATACTACACACAGACAAACAGTAGTTGTATACTACACACAGACAAACAGTAGTTTTATACTAAATGTTGTAAGTTTTATTTGAGAAATAACTCATCTAAATGGATAGACGAAGTTGTAATCGATCATCTCTCATTTGATGGAGTATACAAATCTTAATAATTAAGTGCTTATAATTAGTAGCCAGCTTCTGACCTTCATATGGAATATTTGTATTATACTGTCAAACCTGTATTATAAGAGACCACCCTCTGGAAAAGGTGGTCTCTTAATTACTCATTCGCCCCTGAAGACACATTTGAACTCTTCTAATTCAAAGCTTGGAACAGTTCATTATGAAATTTCAGGGGTGAATGATGAGTTAATACAGGTTCAGTTCACAATGAAATCACTACATTTGGGAACATTAAAAGAGGTCTCTTAACATAGGGAGTCTCTTAACATCAGCTGTATCATGAGCAGATTTGACTGTATATACATGTACATGTACCAGTTTGAAGTGGTACATGTATATATTGAATGGTTTGTGCCAAGTATGTAACGGTCAGCTCATTTTCATATATAATTATAAGTATCATTTACAATGATGACTAAAATCACCTATACATGTACAGATCCCAAACATCTTAACACAGCATACAGTGTCACAGTAAATCTTCCTGACATATTTTATACAATATTCTAACTTTCGCTTTGTTAATTTCCCCCCATTAAACATTCCATGGACACCACACACTTAACCTTACACAAGGAAAGCATTAATGTCCATCACCGATTTCTGTATTACATGCACGACCTTATAGTCATAAATAACCCCTTGGTTGATACACCAGCGACACTTACTTCAGACAAACTCTCGCCCTATCCCACATAAATGACATGCACAGAATGTACTCAACACATAAATATTACATATACATCTATATATGTCATGTAAGGGCCAACCTGGACCTTTGGCATTCAAAACAATGCTCACCATATAAGACTCTATCTGCCCATTAAAACAAATCATATAATTTTTTTATCTTAACCCATTCATCCCTAAGTCACATTTGAACCTTACAAAATCAAATACCAGTAAGTCCAGTATAAATTGTATCACATGGCTATCATTTTTTTGTGTGTTATGCAGTAAATACAATCATGTCATAAATTCAGCATAAAACATAAGAAGTCCTAGACAGCAGGAAATGAATTGAAACATATATGTTATTTAACCCATTCACCCCCTGAAATTTCATAATGAACTATTCAATCCTTTGAATAGGGAGAGTTCAAGTGCGTCTTCAGGGGTGAATGGGTTAATAAAAGTAAGAACAGCAATGGGATACTGTAGCTACAGACCAAACATCATGACACTATAGGATTATGGTTCTTGAGAAGAAATCATTTATCTTTTTTATCATATTTGATATTTGACCCCTGTGACCTTACAACTGAATAAAGGTCAATGTCATATATTTGTACAAACCTGATAGCCGTCCACACAGGGCTAGAAATTAATTTTTGATACCTCTAGTCAATTTAGGGAAGTAGGTTCCAATTTTCACTAATCCATGTGCGAATTCCACTAACCCAATACTATTCAACAAGATAAGCAATATCAAAGTTTGACCAGTCACTCTGGCAAAGGGGTTTTAGAACCACAAGTCCAGCAGGAGATTTCAGTCTCAAACCATTGGCTACCCTTATTGTCTAGCCCTGCTACATCCTGGATGCTGCTAGGCCCAGGTCCAATATAACCCTCTAAAACTTATTGCTCTTGAGAAAAACTAAAAGATGTCAACAGTTAATGGATTATGGATGGAAACAGGCGAAGACAGATGGGAATAGTATGCTCCAGAAAATACAATTTCTACCGATGTTTGACCTTTATTTGTTACCTTGACCTTGAGTGAGGATTATGAAAATATTCCCATATGCGATTCATCAATACATATATCTACATATGGGGTGAAAGGGTTAAGGACACTAAACCCAATAAAAACAAACCATGCAATAATGATTTTCCCACAAGAGACAGATGTATAAAGATATCAAGTATCATTGATCCCCAGGATATAAAACATGTATGCATGTATACCAAAACAAAACATAAAATGTCAATATTTACTGCTGTAATCAATCCATTTCCACTCAATAACATGAAGATAGATAACAAATTAAGGTATTTCTTGCACGCATGTTGATAAAAAAATGTGAATCTCAAACTTGAGCATATATGCGTATAATAAAACAAAATTATAAGTCTTTGTGATTTATTTTAAGAATATCTCACGAACTGAGGCTGGCATTGTTTTATAACTCATTTATAATTACTGGACTAAAAATATGAAATACCGTCAAACTTTGATGTTTCAAACATTGCAGAACCATCAGGAAAAAATTTGAAACATCAGGATTTTGACTCACAAGTGTTTGACATGGACCACATTAATCCTATATATACACAATACATCAACTAGAATGTGATTCTTATGTGATGAAAACACAGTCCTAAGAAAATTAATTTTAAATGGATAAATATTGGATTACAGTAATAAGAATAGCATATTTATCTACATAGTGTATTTGTATTGCGATTTTATCAATCCAACATTTCTTTGTTTGTCAATAAAATTTTCGAAGCCTATGGTTGTTGATGTAGTCCATTTTTTTAATTCGATATATATTATAAGTTGTTATTTTCAAAGTTTTCATAACAAACTGTCCTCGATTATACTTCAAAACTATACTTTAAGTACAAGATTCATCTAAAAAAAACTAAACACAAATGTTATTTACAATGATTGGTATTTTATTTTAAATGTTGCTTTGTCGTCAGAATTACAGTAAAAAGCAGAAAATTAACTTTTGTTTTTTCTCCATTGAAAAAAAATAGAACACTTGCTGCCATTGGAAATGGAGCCAAAATTTGACATCAAAAACGACCCTGACACAACATCTGTCTATATGTATAACCAGCATTTAGGTCAACTTATCTTTAGTGTAATGCATATATGATCCTGTTCAGGACAAAAGTGCTACACGGTATACAGAGTTTCTAATAGACGACACTCAAATGGCCACAGGGTCAAGACAATAAGGCCCGAGGGGTGAAATGTTTATGGAGCAGGAAGCAAACCTAGACCAGGAAGAGGCACATAAAAGGGTCAATTTGTCACTTACTTATCTATATATACCTACATCGACTACCTACTGCCATGTAGACCTTCTGTACGTCTCTTTGACATTCGTGACTTTACACTACCTATTTTACAAGTACGTGTACCTGTGTCTTTTCAAAAAAGGATAAAAAATGCATGTTTTCATAGCAAATTTTTCTGACAGATTTCCAAAAAATATATGACACTATTCAAATTGGTTGGGAAATTAAGAAAACACCAATATTTGGTTTAAGAATTCATCAAAACAAAGAAAGCTGAATTGCCTTTATTTTTTATCCAAGATTGGCAAAAGAAATATCCCAACAAATAAAAATCTTTTGACCAATTTTATTCTGATGCACCAATTTTTCGCAGAAAAACCTTATTTATAAATCAAACATGAAAATAATCATTGACTGATTGGTTGAAGCTTAATGATTATTATTACAATCCAGATGTATTTTGTATAATCTTTCACTTGTCGTAAAATAACTTATAAGGATAATTTTTCAAAAGCTGATTTGTGTTCCAATTCTTTTCAAATCTTTTTTTTGTAATCAAGTCACCAAGATGAGTAAAATAGAATAAGATAGGTCAAAATTTGATGAATGTGTTTTTCAATTTGGCTCTAAAAAATCAGGAAACCAAATAAATGCAGACCATAGAAAAAACGCACACGATCATTCAATATGGGTGCATATATATATATATATGTATACTGGTATATGGTCAAGGTGTCTTGTAGACAAAGTACAATATACCTTCAGGCAATGACATTTAGTGACGCACTATTACAGGTAAATAGTATACAGGTAGAAATGTCAAATCTACAACAGTGCATTACTATAAAGCATCATGATCGCCCTCATCTCCTTATTGACAGTCTGAGTATAATAGGACTTTGACAGGTAATTATATATGATAGGACTTTGACAGGTAATTATATATATATATCATCACAGACATATGCTAATGGCTTCCCACTTAACCTATTAATATATTTACATTGTTTTATATTAACAGATATATAATGACCATCATTAATTAAACATTGTATTAATTGATTTTCACATAAAGTACTTATTTACTAGTACTGCCACCCATCAAATGAACAATTAAAAAAAATTGAAATGAAATAGAAACTGCAAAAATGAACTTCAGTTTCCAAACGTTTGACTTTTATTAGGAAACACATTTTGATAAGACTGACCACAGTTGTGGGTCAGCAACAAAAGAATTTTGAAACTTGCCTTTTTATAGAGAAACTAAATTAATATTGTGCAAATGAATGATCTTAAAAAATAACAATCGTTAATACTATTAGTCAACTTCCTTGTTAGAAGCGACACTGGAGATAATCTTCAATCAAATGATTGGTCAACTTCCTGATATAGATGTAATATGTACATCTTTGTATATTAATTATCAAGTTTGAACAAATATATCAAGATATGAGTGTTTTGTAGCTTGAAACAATTAAAAAAAAAAAAATACATGATCTTGAAAAATTAGCATGGACTTTCCAAGAAAAATGTATATGTTTTAATTGTAAAATATCTAATTTGTACAATGTAACAGAACAACCAAATAACAATAAAAATCTGTGGATACATCGTTGTACGCAAATTATCAACATCTCAGACTTTAGATCTTGCGACTTTGTCGTTCCCAGTCTGATCCAGATGAACGACTGATCCCGTCAGTGGAGCCAACTGGGTACACCACACAGTGCTGATCAAAGTGTGAAGGCAACAATTTTTAAAAGGATGAAACCTCCAAGTCTGAGGTTTGAAAACCTCAATATAAACGCACACTCTAAGAACCTCAAACCTCTAGATCGACTTGTACACCAGTCTAAACCAACTAGGGGACGACATCAATAATACCCGGTCAATATAAGTCGTTACAATTGTTATAGGACTGAATCAAAACACTCTTTACACTGCAGCGGAAATTACGAAAGTGAAAGCAATGGAAGTGAATTATTTTAAATGTCCAGATTACAGCAGAAGCCAGCGGTTGTAAACATTGCCCGACACGAGGTAAACAATACAAGGCAACCAAGTTTAAATACATACAGACAACAAATTATTTACATTAATAAATTGACCTTACACTCTCAGATTTATACCTGACCGGTCATTCATTCATAAATATCACTCCTTTCACATATTCACCAGGAACCTATACCCAGACCAGCTTCCTTCAATATTACTTCACTGCTGGTAAAATCTGACAGATTAATAGCCAGGGCATGACCAAGACTCCATGTTTGAGAGTTTAATTTATGATATTTCTGTCAAATTCATATGATACTTTATTACATAAAGATAATTAAATGAATCCGGAATTCCAACAATTCATATCATTGTTGTCGAAATTAAAAACTTAAAGAAGATGAAATTAACAATTGAGACATAGACACAGGCTTATCATATTGTAGGTGTATTGAGAGTTGAGTCTACTGTCTGTACTTCAAGCTGCTAAAATTGGCTGACGTGCAAAATGATACAGATGCTGGATTTTGAGTCTTGTCTTACTGGTGCGGGATGTGTACAATTTAAATGTCACTGAATCCAACTTGTAAATATTTATACTCAGTTAAGTATTGTACGTTTATCTCTGACGTTAGGTAACAATAATATTATTCGGCAAGCTGTGTTTGTACTTACCTGTGCAGGAAACCACTGTGGCCCCAAACCAAAACAAAACCAAGCCGAACATTGATAATGTGAAGACAGTCTGTCCATTCCCACGGTTCATTGTGGTATTTGAGATTTCCAATGAATTGAAATGTTAATTTTGTCCAAAACACAACTTTAAATACCCCGCAAGACCTTTCCCGGTTATGGCAGCAACTTGCACGAGCGGTGCCACATCACACGTTCAGTTCCTAGCAGAAATCTGATACTCAAGCTTGACCTATGACCTCCACATGTTTGACTTCGTAGTTGCACTACGCATGCGCAATTGAGAGTTCCTCTGGCTAAACCAAACGCAATTAAATTCACGCACTTCAATTCTTCACCCAGTCATAGACCAACAATAATAACAACTAATAATACGCACGGATTTTGCTGTAATACGTGATCTTGATACCGTACACGTTCCCCCCCACCCCACCCCCCAATTTCTCATTACAAGAGTCAAAACAAAGGGGGCTTGACAAAGATACAAGATGTTTAATTCACAAATCTGCAAAAACAACATTTAATGTGTACATTATGATTTGACATTTATATACAAATTAATGCTATGTCGTTGCTATTACAGGGGCAGCAGTCTGAAATTTTGTCATAATGAAACATAAAACACAATCCCTATAATACATGATTTGAAATAACTTTTTAGGCAAATAATAGCTGATACTTTTTAGATTATTATCAATGATGATTTTAAAATCATTGAAATATTTTTATATTAAAAATACTTATTGACAGTAGAAAATCTACGTACAGTATTACATGTATTTCAAACACCCGTGTTGAAGGACTTGCATGTATATTTTCTTGAATCTTTAAAAGTGTTCCGCGTGTTTTAAGCAATTAAATAAAGTAAATTTTAATTATACGGTTATTTCTGAGGGCCTTAGCTATGAAACTAATTAATATTACGGGCCTTGGGGTCCTGTCTTAATTTGAATAAAAACGGTTCGGAAACTAGTTAGTTCCGGCGATAATTAAAATTGGCTGTAATTAAAAAGTACATTCAATTGTGTTTTGTTTTTGTTTTTGTTTTTTACATTTTAGGGTGAATATATTACTCGTGTATTGTAATATATTATACATGTATATGCTTGCATAGTCTAATCTGATTTCTTGCCTACCGAATTGTAAATTTGATAAAGATATTAAGTCATGAAGTGAACATATATTAATGATATTCAGGAAAAGAACTTTTCTATAATTAAAGAACATCATCACACTCGCATGAAATGTAAACGATACGATCTCGCCAATATAAGCACGGACGTAGTTTAAAATAATATATTTCCGTGATGTAAGTTATATTTCAGTCATGATCGCCTTGTTAATTTTATAGAGAAAAACATATCCCATTTAATTTGGATTCCGTAAAAATATTGCATATTAACAATATGCTTTCCCTAAATAACTTGAGTCTATGCATGTTTTGTTGATTTTAATTAGGTATTCGATAGGCAAGCGTTTGGAAAATTGACCCAATCTACAAACTGACAAAATATGGATTGGCAGTAAATATTTCAAAATCATTCAATATAAACAGATCATCTTCAGTTAATTTTCCGTACATTATGTATTTAAAAGAAAAAAGAAAAAAAAAGAAAAAAAATAGTGAATCTAAGAGGGAGTGTATTATACATTACATATTATATTATTATATAGACATTTAACACATTTTTGGAACATCCTAATTTTGTTTGAAATCCCGAACATATGTTGCGAAAATCACCGAAAAATATTTTAAATGTGTTTTCAATTTCTTTAGAGAGAGAAAATTGGTTTCAATCTTAAAGCTAAATCATACCACGAAAAAAAAAGCGGGTGCTTGCATGCGGTGATCGCGACCTTGGTTTCGGACCGTCAAGCTCCCGCTTTCGTTGGGAGGAGTATATACTCAGAAAACAACCCTCCGGTTGTAGTACTGGGGGCGGAAAGGGAGAGGCAAAAATAGAAGAAGAAAAACTATGATTTTATAAAGAAGAAATTACTGGATTGCAAACTTTCCTATTTAACGAAAATGTAGGCTCTTTACCATTGATGTAAAATGTCATATTGTTATAATCACGTTACACTGATGTTACCGGGGTACACTGATGTTACCGAGATACACTGATGTAACCGGGATACACTGATGTTACCGGGATACACTGATATAACCGAGATACAATGATGTAACCGGGATACACTGATGTTACCGGGATACACTGATGTAACTGGGATACACTGATGTTACCGAGATACACTGATGTAACCGTGATACACTGATGTTACCGGGATACACTGATATAACCGAGATACACTGATGTAACCGGGATACACTGATGTTACCGGGATACACTAATGTTACCGGGATACACTGATGTAACTGGGATACACTGATGTTACCGAGATACACTGATGTTACCGAGGTACACTGATGTTACCGAGATACACTGATGTAACCGGGATACCCTGATGTTACCGGGATACATATCGTATCGGGATCCACTGATGTTACCGGGATACACTGATGTTACCGGATACACTTATGTAACCGGGATACACTGATATAATCGAGATACAATGATGTAACCGGGATACAGTGATGTTACCGGGATACACTGATGTAACCAGGATACACTGATGTTACCGGGATACACTAATATAACCGGGATACACTGATGTTACCGGGATACACTTATGTTACCGGGATACACTGACGTTACCGGGATACACTGATGTAACCGGGTTACACTGATGTAACCGGGATACACTGATGTTATCGGGATACACTAATGTTACCGGGATACACTGATCTAACTGGGATACACTGATGTTACCGAGATACACTGATGTTAACGAGGTACACTGATGTTACCGAGATACACTGATGTAACCGGGATACCCTGATGTTACCGGGATACATATCGTATCGGGATACACTGATGTTACCGGGAATACACTAATGTTACCGGGATACACTGATGTTACCGGGATTCACTGATGTTACCGGATACACTTATGTAACCGGGTTACACTAATGTTACCGGGATACACTGATGTAGCCGGGATACACTGATGTTACCGGGATACACTGATATAACCTGGATACACTGATGTTACTGATGTTACCGGGATACACTGATGTTACCGGGTACACTTATGTAACCGGGATACACTAATGTTACCGGGAGACACTGATGTAACCGGGATACACATCGTACCGGGATACACTGATGTTACCGGGATACACTATTGTTACCGGGATACACTGATGTAACCGGGATACCCTGATGTTACCGGGATACATATCGTATCGGGATACACTAATGTTACCGGGATACACTGACGTAACCGGGATACACTGATGTAACCGGGATACCCTGATGTTACCGGGATACATATCGTATCGGGATCCACTGATGTTACCGGGATACACTGATGTTACCGGATACACTTATGTAAACGGGATACACTAATGTTACCGGGATACACTGCTGTAACCGGGATACACTGATGTTACCGGGATTCACTGATGTTACCGGATACACTTATGTAACCGGGATACACTAATGTTACCGGGAGACACTGATGTAACCGGGATACACTGATGTTACCGTGATACACTAATGTTACCGGGATACACTGATGTTACCGAGATACACTGATGTAACCGTGATACACTGATGTTACCGGGATACACTAATGTTACCGGGACACACTGATGTAACCGGGATACACTGATGTAACCGGGATACCCTGATGTTACCGGGATACATATCGTATCGGGATACACTCATGTTACCGGGATACACTGATGTTACCGGGAGACACTGATGTTACCGGGATACACTAATGTTACCGGGATACGCTGATGTAACTGGGATACACTGATGTTACCGGGATACACTAATATAACCGGGATACACTGATGTTACCGGGATACATATCGTATCGGGATCCACTGATGTTACCGGGATACACTGATGTTACCGGATACACTTATTTAACCGGGATACACTAATGTTACCGGGATACACTGACGTAACCGGGATACACTGATGTAACCGGGATACACATCGTCCCGGGATACACTGATGTTACCGGGATACACTGATGTGATGTTACCGGGATACACTAATGTTACCGGGACACACTGATGTAACCGGGATACACTGATGTAACTGGGATACACTGATGTTACCGAGATACACTGATGTTACCGAGGTACACTGATGTTACCGAGATACACTGATGTAACAGGTATACACTGATGTTACCGGGATACACTAATGTTACCGGGACACACTGATGTAACCGGGATACACTGATGTAACTGGGATACACCGATGTTACCAGGATACACTGATGTTACCGGGATACACTAATATAACCGGGATACACTGATGTTACCGGGATACCCTGATATAACCGTGATACACTGATGTTACTGATGTTACCGGGATACACTGATGTTACCGGGAGACACTGATGTTACCGGGATACACTAATGTTACAGGGATACACTGATGTAACCGGGATACACTGATGCTACCGGGATACACTAATGTTACCGGGATACACTGATGTTACCGAGATACACTGATGTAACAGGTATACACTGATGTTACCGGGATACACTAATGTAACCGGGATACACTGATGTTACCGGGATAAACTAATGTTACCGGGATAAACTGATGTAACCGGGATACACTGATGTTACCAGGATACACTAATGTTACCGGGATACACTGATGTTACCGGGAGACACTGATGTTACCGGGATACACTAATGTTACCGGGATACACTGATGTAACCGGGATACACTGATGTTACCGGGATACATATCGTATCGGGATACACTGATGTTACCGGGATACACTGATGTTACCGGGATATACTAATGTAACCGGGATACACTGATGTTACCGGGAGACATATCGTATCGGGATACACTGATGTTACCGGGAATACACTAATGTTACCGGGATACACTGATGTAACCGTGATACACATCGTACCGGGATACACTGATGTTACCGGGATATACTAATGTAACCGGGATACACTGATGTTACCGGGGTACACTGATGTTACCGGGATACACTAATGTTACCGGGATACACTGATGTAACCGGGAGACACTGATGTAACCGGGATACACATCGTACCGGGATACACTGATGTTACCGGGATACACTGATGTTACCTTGATACACTGATGTTACCGGGATACACTGATGTTACCAAGATACACTGATGT